TTCTACTGGTATCTGATCTTTTGGATGGGTGTTCATCTATAATTCCTGTTTGCAAATTCTCTGTAATGTGTAGCCAAATGAGCCAACTATACTCCCTTTGTAATTCAAATATCCAGGTTTATCATGGTTGATCTTGAAGTCCAACCTGTCCATAAAAATATTTGTCCCTCCTTACATGTCTTCCATTTTATGCCTGGCTTGCCCCCTCCTGACTTTCTGTGTTACCCCTGCAGTAATCCTTAGCTGAGCCTCACACTGTCCTTGAGAACTGGCCTTGGACATGAGCCCTGTCCTCTCTTTAGCAATTAGTTCCAAGCTTGTTACATATTATTCTTCTTTTAAATATTCATGTTCCAACAGAGACTAAACTCTAACTTGGAACAATATTTCACCAAAACCCCAAGTTCTAAGGAAAGAAGTGCAATCTTGGAATAGAAGCAAAGAAATTTGTGGCCCATGGTCCCCAAACTGTCTTCAAGAACCCCTACCATCTGTTTGCATTCCTCCCTGAGTCTATCTTCCAGTTCACGCCACCTCCTTCTCCCACAATCACCTGAGGTCCCCCAAGGGGTCCTCAGAATCAAGGACCATCTGCCTTTAGATGTCAAGAGGAGAATCTCTTCTCTCTCTCAGAGTACCATCTCTTTCCTTCATGTATTTTGAGGCTGAGAATCAATTTTTCCCCACGTAGACTGAAAATGGGAATATTTTTTTCCACCAGAGAAAACTCCTCCACCCAATAGAAAAATTACCTTAGAAAATAATAGTCAGTAACAGTCTATGTGTTGAGTTATTCTGCAGAAGTAACCCTGTGTAAGACATACCAAGTGCCTGTTGGAGATGTGGTTCTATGGATGCTCTTCTCTCCTCAGTCCTCAGGTCTCGGTCTGGAGTTCTGGAAAACAACTCTACACACAAACTTGCACACACAGAGCTATAAGAATAGGCAACAGCTTATAGAAAAGCACCCTTAAAATCAGACAGGCCTAAAAACCCTAGAATATACACACCCTCCCCGCCAGACAAGTATGTCTCCGAGACAGAAGTTTGGCTCATTCTTGCCCCAAAATTTATGCTATCAAATAGAACACTTAACTTCTCAGTCTAAAACATCTGTGTTCGGGTTAATACTGACTCCACATTTCCCTCTAGAACAGTGGGTGAATATTTGATTTACATTTTTGTAAACAAATGGCAGACTCAAGTGGTTTTCCCAGACCAAAAGCAACAATTTGCCTCTGAGGTAAATTCATGTCCCTACCCTTAGAGACTGGAAATTGCTTGCAGCTTTAAACATTTTCCCTCTTTTCCCAGCTACTAAAGATCAAGTTTCTAACAATATCTTGGGGCCAGTGCCAGCTAGGGTAACCCACTGCTTGTCTGTAGAATTATGAGACACGGTTATTTTGAGGTCTCTGAATACACGATCCTATATACCCCTGGGTCTCACGTGGTGACCCAAGCAAGTAGCATCACCTGGGAACTTGTAAGATGTGTGAATTTGGGGGTTTTATCCCAGTTCACTAAATGAGAAACTCTGGATATGGGGCCCAGTGGTGTGTATTTTAGCAAGCCTAAAAGAAAATCTGACCACTGATACACACCAACTGCAGCAAAAGACACGGTGGGCAGATTCACTGGGAAGATACAATATTCTCCAGGTATCCATGGACTGGGTTGAGAGGATCTCTGCCCAGTGCCCCAGATATCCCAAAGTGCAAGAAAAGATGCTTTATTATTTTTTTTCTGTGCCAAAAGATTTTAGGAAGTTCATTAACTATTTGAATGAGCGAATCATGCGAAAAGGAAACATGAACTGAACAGAACCCCCAGATCAAGAAAAGCAAGGTGAGAATGCTTGAGAGTATTATAGGGAAAGAGGACAAGGGATGACAGGAAGGATGTGATCTCCACCAGTGCCCTGGGAGAACTGCTTTGCTTAAGCTGGCTGCCGCCCCCTCCCCTCCCCCATTGCCCAAAGCAGATGGATAGCAAACCAATTCCCTAGGTATCTGTTCTGTTCTCCCCTTCCTCTTTGATGGTGTGGATCTAGGAAAAGCTTTAGAACTACCTAGAAATCTCAATTTAGACAAATGAGGTATAAGGAAAGTCTGAGCACTGGACCAGTTTCACCCAGAACCTTCTAGAGGTCCTGAGCCTAGACTGAGTTTCCCCCTGCTCTGTCCCAGGACTTTGCAACCTCTACACTGAAAATAACAGGATTGGCCCAGGGGTACAGTCTCTAGATCCCATGGGTAATCTCCACTGAGCAGGCCATAGAGTCAGGGATGGGAGTACAATCCAGGCTAAAGGCATAGTAAGGTATAGTTTAATGTGCAACTATTAAATATTTAGCCATGTCTCCATTCATGATCTTGTCCCAGGCTCTGATAATAGGCCTAGAATTTATTTCAAAATTAAAATTCAGCTCACTTGAGTAGGTAGTGAGCATCCACCCTAGGTAAAGAACAGTGCTGGGCTTCATGGTACACAGGGAGATGAGCTGAGTCTGTGTGTGCACAGGTCTTTGCTCCCTAGCAGTGAAGGGCATAGATGTGCATAATGTCTTATGTCATAACAGCTGAAAGAAAGCTATAGCAGAGAAAGTCCTATGGGAAAACCACAAAGGGAAGGGATTTTTGACCTTGAAAAACAGAAAAAAGGCTCTTGGGAATATATGGCATTGTAGTAGATCTTCATGCTGCTTGCCAATCTAAACTTCCCTCTAGTCTCTGGGGCCACCTTGGGAGTTCCTGTCTGTACTTGACAGAAAGTAGTAAGTAGTAAATTGGCTTCTCAAACCTAACGCTTTTCCCTGGACCTAGGAATCCATCTCAGACTCCAGAGAGGAGTTTGGAAGGCAGGGCCAAGTGTGGAGTGCTCCCATTCTGGTCATTACCACGTTTTTCTGTGTCTCTCTGCTGGTAGAAAAAGGAAATTACTCTCCCATGCTATTTTTAACATAAAAATCATCTCCCTGGAATGGCTTTATCATATGCAAACCTCACCTTATAAACAAAAAACTTTCCTCACAAAGCATTCTCATCTGAATCTGTCTGGGAGACTAGAATCTTGTTCCCACACTCGAGAGCCATAAACCAAATGAACTAACTCAGAGGTCAGAAGAAGCCTGAAGTCTGGACATCAAATCTGGCTCCACCACCTGTTTTTTCTTTTTTCTTTTTTTTTTTTTTAATAAAAATCTGCTGTAACATATGCTTTCAAAGTGGCAGCGTTGATGGTTGCCACAGATACTGCTTGTCCCACAAAGTCTAAAATACTTGCAGAAATCTTTGTTCACCTCTCACTCGAAGTCAGCCAAGAAGCAAAATGAAAATGGTTTCAAATCCTTATCAAATGCCAGTCTCTGCCCCAATCAATTTTGCTTATGGATCAGGGTTGAAGAATTTCATCACTTTAAATAAACGAAAGCCAGAAACTGAAACAGAAAGTAGAGAGCATCAAAGTTCTAGAAGCAAACAGAATTCCCCACAATCAGTTCAAATGCAGAGATTTTAGTGAAAGGACCACTTCCAGAGGTATGGACAAATTTAAAGATTTGAGCAAGGGATATTGGGACAGGGAACAGAGAACTGTCACCACCCCTGGAACAGAAGGAATAGAGCAGGAAATTCATGTTATTGAGGCAAGGAGGAAGGTCACCCTAAAGGAGCTGTGGTCATGGAGAGTCAGTTTCTAAGCCAGTAGAAAGCTTCTAAGCCAGTAGAAATAGAGAAGAAACACCCCAACTCTTCCTTTGTCCTCCCATGTCCTCCTGGTGGCCCCACTGCAGACTGATCTGAACCAGAGGCCAGAGAACACTGGGACCAGGTGATGCAGTCCGTCTAGGATGGTCAGCCTTCTGGGACAAGAAGGGCAGATAGCCTGTGGGGGAGGGTAACCAGACAACATACGGACCCCCAAAACAATATAAGTGAAGTGTTATTGTATATTGGTTAGGATTTCTATTTCGAGAGCAGAAACCCAACTCAAACTGACTTGTATAATGAGAAAATATATTAATTCACATGACAGGGGGACAGGTAAAGGACTTGGACTGATATAGTAGCTCTTGAATACCATCAAAGAGATCTAGGTGTTTTGCATCCCCTCATCTAGATATTGATGAGGTCAACTTTATTCTGAGGCTGGTTTATGAGTTACAGTAAAGAACATATGCATCTTTGATCTGGGGACAGTTAGGTAAGAATGGGGACCAGGAGGCAACACGGTATCTGAGGGTTGGTTTTCCATTCCTGGTAGCGTAGAAGCTGTGCTTGTGCCCCATTTTAACTGTATGTGTATGTGTGATTCTCTCTGATTCTTTAAACTTTTCTGAATTCTCCTCATACTTCTTTGATCCTGATTGGCTTACGCCTGACAATTCCAGAAGCAATTACCAGCCACAGGGATAAATTACTAGTTGTTATAATTTGAGTCTTAACTGTTCCATAAAACCTTATGTGTTAAAGGCCCAAGGCAGCAATTTTCAGAGGTGGAGCCTTTGCGAGATGATTGGATCATGAGAGTTCTGACCTCTTCAATGGATTAAACCATTGATGAATTAATAGTTTAATGGGCTAATGGGAGGAGGTGGAAACTAGTTTGAGGAAGTAGATCCTTGGAGGCATGCCCTTGAAGGGTGTACTGGAATCTTGGCCCCTTCCTCTCTCTCTTTGCTTCCTGGGCACCTTGAGGTATGAAGCTTTGCTCTAACATGCACTCCCTGCCACAATGTTCTGCCTCAAGACAGGTCTAGAAACAACAGAGGTAAGTGATCATGGACTGAAACCTCTAATACCATGAGCCAAAATAAATCCTTTCCCCTTTAAGTTGTTTTTCTCAGGTATTTTGTTGCAGCAACAGAAAGCTATCTAACACACTAGTGTATACTATTCACCGGATGGATGGGGTGGATGTAGATGTGGGTGTTGGGGAATATCAACCAAAACATCTAATACAGTATGATAGTAATATAACATATTATCTTCTTCTTTCAGGTGTGTTTCCATCTGTCCACATCTTATGATCTGCAGGTATTTACTACTCAGATCTTCAGCTGACATGTGAGGCTCCTCTGAGAACAGGGTAGCCCATGCTGTGCCATGAGGGTAATGACTCTTATTCAGAATTAGAACATACTTCCTCATCCAAACAGTTCATATGACCACCCAAAAGCCAAAACATAACTTGTAGGGGAAAAGTAAAGAAGTTACCAAACCTAATTAAAATTCTAATTAGACTTCTCCCAATGTTTTGGTAAGTCGCCCATCCCTGTGGTTTAACTTCCTTCTGCATAGTTAAGATACAGGATGGCTGCAACCCCACAGCAAGAGAAATTACATAATGTGGGCTCAGAGGGTTTAACAGCTGAAATTAATTTGAAGGCCTTTTAAGAGGTGCTAGGTGTTTTTCACACTTTTCCCCCACACCTGGTAGGTGTTGATTCCCATCGGTGAAATGTCCATTTGCTCTTTGATTGATGGGTTTTACATAGATGCTGTGAGGCAAATTTAGATTTGCTTTCATTTAGATTTCCCACTTTATCATGGGCACTTCGTTGCCACTTAATTAATTCATCTTTCCGGAAGTGGCCTGAGATTTTAATCTAGTTTATACAGGAAAGTGTAAACAAAAGAGGTCACCATTGTCCCAGAAGTTGAGACACTGAGTAGAGGCACTCTGCAAGTAGACCATGATTAGGATGCTTGGCAGTTGCTTGGCAATTGTACTTGATTTCCTGAGATCAGTACTCATCAGAAAGGCAAAGATCCTTGCTATGTAACAAAATGCCCATTAAATATATTATCAGCTAACTGGTTCAAGTTTCATTGAAATTGGAAAGCTCTTCATTTTTCCTACATATTTCTAGTACTTGGCTGAGCTAACAAAATTCTTGACCCTGGCTTGTGAAGCAAAATAGATTCCTTACTTACCTGAGGATTTTTTAAAACAAAATACCCATTATATAGACAGGCACAATGGCAAAGCCTCACAGTTGCTGGAATATCCATCTCTAGTAGAATGCAAAGCACACAAATATTTCTTAGTACCTCAGAAACTAAAGTCCTAACCAGTAGAAATAAGCCAGGACCTCATCTCCTTTTTTTTTTTTTTTAATCCAAAATTCCCCATGCTACACCCAGGCACATGTTTATAGTTTCCAAGTTATTACTCTTGCAAAAAAAAATTAATCTAAAACTTTGACAAACTACAGCACTTTTATGGGTTTCCATAGTGGCTTTTCTATACTGCAGTAAATTCACTATGAAAATTGTTATTATATTAATCATAAGTGACTCATTTAAAATTATAGTTTGGGATCTCTTATTTTTAAAAAGATCCAATTTCATTTGTATCATTGCCCAAGTTTATTTTTTAACTTAAAATTCACATCACAATTCAGAATAGGAAATGCCACCGGAAAGTTGTTTTTCAAACCAAGAATTTTGTTTCCAAAAAGAGAGAATGAGAGAACAAATAAACATGATAATGCCAATAATTAAGTGTTACGTGATTTTTATAACCAAGCAGTTTATTACAACAGCTTTTGTGGGTGGTACAAAATATTTGAACAGGTTTTCAAACCAGTTGGCGATTTATGAAATATTAGTGATTGTTATTACAGGTTGAGTTTTATGATCCGTGGTTGATTTATTTGTATGGAACTCAGAAGGACACATACCAGGCTATTACTCTGCTTTGAAAATACTGCTTAGTACCTGGTTCACCTTTGAACCACTTCTTAGGGTACTTTAGGACTCCAAGAGGGAGAAGCTATCTGAGAAAGCAAATGGGTTTCAAGGAAGAAGGAAAGGTATGTGAAATGTTCTTGCAAAGTTAGTTGAATATCTATTAACTATAAAAGTAATATAAAATAATAGCTAGTCCATATAAAGGGAAAACCCAGGTGAATACATTTATGTTAACTTAGGAGTACCTTACACAACTGACCCCCGAAAACACTTTCATCAAATAAAAACCAACTCACAACTGATGCTAAAAGAGTACGGAACCCACAAATAGATGAGCTTCACCAGTTTTCCCCTTCTTAAGTAATACTACCAGAAAAGTAGATGAAGAGATGAACCATAGAATATTCAAGATTAAATTTGCCACTCTGGTTACTTAATCAAATACATGGTGGTTGCCACAATAAGCAATGAATACAAATATCTTCAGTAATTCATACTATTACCAAGTCTAAAATTTATGAAAAATGTTTCAAAAATTGTATTTAAACAAGGACATAAATTTAAATTTGTTGACCACCTTCAACTGGCAATTCTTAAAAAAAAAAAAAAAAAAAAGAATGACACAATTTCTTGGTCCCAGTAACTTTTTTTTTTTGAAAGACTGCCCTAATCTGAAGCAGACAAGTCAATTTGCATCTTGTCCATGACTATCATCCCCATCTCTAACAAATATTTTTTAGTAATATTATAGAATGACTGAACAAGTAAATATAAGACTGAAAGTACTCAAGAGTTCTACCTCACCTTTCTTAATAACTGTAGCATATTGCAAGATTTACTGATACATCACTCCAGTGAAATCCAAGGATCCTATTTTCCTTCAAAGTAACTGTATGGTATGATTCCATAGGACTGGAATGGCAGGCTTAGGTTTGCAACATTAGCATCCAGGAACCTATTCTTTCTGCTTATTTTGTCTTAAACAAGAAAAGGAATAAAAAACTAAACTAAAACTCAATTATATAAAGTACAAAAGTAGTCTTGTGATTAATATAGCTAGCATTTGAGAGACAAATAAAATCTTGTTTTTTTGTTTTTTTTTGTTTTTTCCTTCAGTGACTAGAGCTCAAACCCAGGGCCTTACACTTCTATTAGTGATTGTTATAATAGGTTGAGTTACACCTGCAAGGCAAGTATTCTTCTACTGAGCCACACCCCCAGCCCATACAATCTCTTTTCTATGCAACTGTCTTTTGATTTTAACAAGTGTAAAAGTATTTATTCAGATAATCTTTAAGTGTTAAGCTCATAACTGTATTCTTCAATAGCACATAACATTTTTCACAGAAATATTTCATTGATTTGTAATGAAACTTATCAGTGTTTCCTTTTTTTAGTATTTATGTGACGCTTTCAAAAAGTCTGGCCCTTAGGGAGAATAGATGAAAATTCTCTTCCAGTAGTATTGTAATTTCTTTATTTACATTTACTTTTGAATTTGATTTGTATTTATTTTAATGTAAGGAAAGGGATAAAAATCAATTGTTATATTTCTTAAGTAATTATTCAAATGTCTTCAAATCATTTATTTTAAAAAACATATTTGGGCTAGGGTTGTGGCTCAGTAGTAGAGTGCTTGCCTAGCATATGTGAAGCACTGGGTTTGATTCCTAGCACCATGTATAAATAAATAAATAAAGGTCCATTGACTACTAAAAAAATATTTTTTAAAAACACATTTACTCACTGATACACGCTAATAGCTTTTTTATTCTAAATCCCCATATTTCTTTGGGTAAGATTCTGGGCTGTCTATGCAATTTTGTCCATCTAGTTGTTTATTTATAGTATCACAGCATGCTATTTAGTTAACATAGTTATAATTCTGTAGTTATTCTTTCTCTTTGGTTTTTATAGATAATTCTTTTGCAGTTATTTTTCTTATAAACTTGAAAATAATTTTATATAGTTCTAAAAGTATTGCAGTAGTACTTTCACTAGGCTCAGGATACATTTGTAGTTTGATTGTAGGGGAATTGGCCTCATTAGAATGTTGAGTCTTCTCATCTGAGAATAGGATATGCCTTTCCAAGTTTTCAATTTTATCTTTATGTATCTCAGTGATTTAAAGTTTCTTCACATAGATTTTACACAATTCTTGCTTTTTTCCTAGGCATTTCATCTTTTCTGTTGCCACTACATTTTTTCTACTAAACTCAAGAACACTAAGCAATTACAACTAAAAACAAACCTAATACTTCTAATTAAGTTTGATGTGTGGTAACCTTTCCTGTGCAAATTTGTACCAGATACCCAGAAAGGGACCCACAGGGAACTCAGCATCTGGACAAGACAACAACAATAAAATAAAAGAGATTTAGACAGCAATCCTCCACTCTCCCATCCTTTTGTGTTTCACCAAATTTATCAGAAGAAAGTGGGAGTTGCAGTCAGAATAATATTTTATTATTGTGGCTTGTTGTATTCATAGAATAACTACTCTTGATAATAATTGAGTATTTTGCATACAGGTTCATTTCATAGTGTGGAATCCTCAATTTCATTTTTGTCATTGTTGTTTTTTATAAAGTTCTGCAGTAAAGAATCTCCTTTGTCTCCTGGGTTAGACCAATGCTAACCCATCTCACTACCAACTGGCAATTGATTTAATTAAGAGTTTTAACTTCTGAAGTGATTGGTTAAGTTGTAAGCCACACCCATAGAACTCACTGCAATTTTAGAGTATGCTGTTTTACCCAGACATACTTCTTCCCATATTGGCCAACATTAAGTTTTCATCATATTGAATACAAGTACTACTAAGAGAAGCAACAGACTTATGACTACTGGTCTTAGATCTCGTCAACTTGCTGAATTCACCTACTTCTAAGTAATTTATCCATGGATGTATTTATGTTTTCTTACATAGACAATATTATCCCCTAAAATAATGACATTTTTATGCCTATTTTCCCAAACCTGAAGTCTTTAATATCTTTCCTTGGGTCATTTTGTAGGCTAGGATCTCCAACACAATTTTGACTAGACTAGGGACAGAAGCGATCTTGTCTACTACTTAATTTTAAAGGGATGATTACATTTCAACAGTTCCTCAAAAAATACATTGAAAATATTTTTTAAAAGATAATATCTATAATTTTTATATAGGCAAAAGAAATAATCAATAGAAAGTGAACAAAGTGCAAATTATTTGTATTAAGTAGTATTTCTCTTAAGTTCAGAGTATTGTTCTATTCCATAAGAAATAAGGTAGCATTGTTCAAAAGTTCACCAATGTAGCTTGATGAAAACTGGGAATGATTCTGCCCAAATTTGTACCAGGTATCCAGAAAGGGATATTGAAATTTTCTTTAAATAACAATAAAAGCTAATATCTCTTCTGAAAGACGTTAAATAGTTGCATTTATTTTATTTTTGTTCATTTAAATGTCTAAATATAGTCATGGGGCTTTATTTAAGGTGCAAAAAGTAAATCTTTCTATCTGTGCCCGTGTTCAGTGCAGGTGTTCAGTGCCAGCCAGACCATTAACTTCAAATGACAGTCCTCAGGCTGGCTCCCTCAAAATCACTTAGGGAATTTGTTATAAGTCCCCACCCACAAAACCTTTGAGTTGAAATCTCTATGTTGAAACCAGAAATCTGTTTTTATGGTTCCCAAGTGTTTGGGGTGAGCATACAAGTTTGAGGACCAAAGTTCAATTATTTCCATTTTTTTAAATTAATTTAGACTTTGAATAGAACTAGTCTAAATTGCACTTAATGGGTCTTATATTCTAATATTCTGTGTTTTTTTTAAAAAATGTTAAATAATTAGCACATTATGGTATCATATGTAGCTAAAACTTAGGCCGAGAAGCAGAATGATCCTAAAGCACAGAAAACCCTTTGTATGTACCCGAAACTAATTCTTCCCTCCCAAGGAGAAGTAACCACTATCTAGCTAACTCTTGTTAATAATATTTTCTGATTTTTCTTTAGCAAATATGTGTGAATCCACAGATAAAAGTTTTTTTTATTTTATAAAAATTGATTTATATTACATAGTCTCTTTTTTAATGTCTTACTTCTTTGTCTCAAATTGTGCTTCTAAAACTTATGCACGTTGTTGTGCAGCAGTAGCTGTCTCTTTCACTGCTGTTCACTAATCAGTTAACATACATATACTGCATTTGCTCATCTATTCTATTTCCCTTGATTTATTTAATTAATTTATTTTTGTTTATACTTATTCAGACATTAACTGTACAAATTAATGGTTTTCACTATAACATTTTCATACATGTACATATCGTACTTTGATCATATCTACCTTCCCTTCTACTCCCTCTTGTCCTCCTCTCTCTTCCCCCTCCCCCAAGTCCCCATTCCCTTCCCTAAAACTGCATCTTCTAAAAAAAAAATACGATATCCATTCTATTTTTAATAGACATTTAGACTTTTTTCCAAGTGTTAGATAAAAAATATTGCAATGAATATTCCTGTCCTTTATCTTGGTCCACATATGCATAAATTTCTTTTATATATATATATATATATATATATATATATATATATATATATATACACACACAGACATCTAATCCTCACTTTGCACAGTGCCATGTTATCTAAAACTTGTGTATATCAGTGCTGTGTCCTCTCTGCAGATTCAGAGGTAACTTATCACTGTTACTTTGGTCCCCATGGAACTGTACAAAGTAAGGACATGTTTCCAATATGCAGAAGCTTCCATTAACACCATATTATTTGAAACAGGCCTGCTGATGTGTGGTGTGTGTGTTGGGAGATAGAATTGCTAGATCATAAGAATTTATATCCTCAATCTCATTAAATAGTGCAGAACTGCTTTACAAAGTGGTTCTAATTTGCTTTTCTATCAACAGTGTGTATCAGAGTGCCTATTATGCCTCATCTTTACCCATACAGTATTTCCCTTATTATGAAAGAAGGCACCTTGTTAACTTGTCACTTGTTTATGTTAAACTGTATGTATTTATTTTAGTAAAATGCCAGTATATCCAAGTGCAGTGGCGCACACCTATAATCCCAGCGTCTGGAGAGGCTGAGACAGGAGGATCATGAGTTCAAAGCCAGCCTCAGCAAAAGCAAGGTGCTAAGCAACTCAGTGAGAACCTGTCTCTAAATAAAATACAAAATAGGGATAGGGATGTGGTTCAGTGGTTGAGTACCCCTGAGTTCAGTCCTGGGTACCCCGTTCCCATAAAAAAAAAGTCAATATAGTTCTTTTTTAAAAAATTTTCTTGTTGGATTGCTTTTCTTTTCCTCATCTACTTATAGAAATCTTTCTCATATCCTGGTATGTTCTTTACTGATATGCTAAAAATATGTCCTTCAAGTTTATGGTATTATTTGGTGAATGGAAACTCTCAAT